GTGTGTGTGTGTGGACAGGAGTCATGCAAAATGTGTACACATGATTAACTATGAAATTTGTGAATGTTGCTGCGGTGACACAGCCAGAACAGCAAGCCAATTAGTAATCGGGTTCTAGAACACATTCCGAACATGATTCAACGCATTATGGTCATGTTAAGGTTCATGTAATCGCTAAATGCTAAGCAACGTGCTTACAAAGCATCAAGGTCCTTCATTGGCCGGCAGTTGTTGATGACTTGATACCTGGTTGATCAGGAGAAAGTATTCTAATTGATGTTTACCATAAATAACACAGAATGCTCAAAATCGCCTCGGGCAATTTTAATCAACTGATGGAAACCAATTCTGTGTCATAAAAGGACCTGTTCATCGGCCTGGATTTTCATTGATGACTATTACCGTAAATATATTTGTTAATTTCACAATTCATTCCAAAACCCTATATAAACATTGTGTTTGTCTGTACCAGATGAAATGCAACGAAATTGACATAAACCGTGCCCTGTTCGTATAGTTCTCCTTTTGAATTTGTTGTACAAGCCGTCCCACTTGGTTAAGTAGCGCAACCTCACACATTTATGACTATATATTTTATCACGACTGATGTCCCCATCAAACTATAAGTCGGGTTATCGATATCACTTCTGAAAATAGATGAGGTTTTGCAAGAGAATACAATGAGCACTGTACAATCTTGAGGTTCAAAAAGCTTTGTGCGGCCATTTGCAAAAAGAATATGGGGAATAAATCCACACGAAGCCTAATGCTACAGATGTGGTTGGTACCCATAATAACTTTTCAAAGATGAATTGTGCTCCGTCTCTCGATTGATGAGGTTCCCGGTTCGATCCCAAGTTTGGCTGATGAATTCACACTGGTGTTGAGACCGAATCAGGTATTAACAGCTTTCCAGTGCTTCCCTAGCTTTCACTTTGTGTGTTCGTTGTGCCGTACATGGCAAGAGTCAAAAGCTGAAAAAAGATATCTTAGTGTAAGGACCTAATATGTCAATGTTTTAAACCAAAAGCTCCCAGTTGTATTGGGAGTAATTTGGTTTCGCTATCTGTTACCTAACAGCTAACAGCTCGACCAATAGGCCAGCTAGTGTGTTGCTGAGTGAGAATAATTAAAAAAACAACGGTGTTCACCAAACGTATTCCTCAAAAATAGGTGGGTGATGTTGGACAACCATACAACAATTGGGAAGATGTTTTCGGACAGGACGGTAGTTGACAGTTATAGTTTGAACGCATCAAGTGAACATGTTTTGCCCGCTATCATCCTGGAAACCGATATGTGCGGTGCACATTGCAGACCAGTAGGGCGACAGTAGGGCTGTGGTAGCCCAGTGTTTAGGCGACCAAGTTTTGACCCGGAAATTCCGGGTTTGAAGCGCTCCAACGCCGCCCGTTTTCCCTATATCTGTATTTTCCCCAGGCAGCATTTGTATGGGCGCAGCCCCCTCCGGGAAGTTGACTGTATACTTGTATATTCAATAAATAGAAACGGAAGTTAAAAGACAATAAAAAACATTTAGCATTGGCCTTATGGTAGAATGCACAAGATAAATCAGACTTTTTGGGCTGTTATCTGTCAAGGTTCCGTGGGATTCCAACACAGAAAGAAGAGAAAATAATTATGAACTGGCTTACTGAGCTACGGTTTGAGACAAGAACTGGACCACATCTGGTCAATGCATTGTAACTTGGCAGTAGTATTTAAATGAACCCAAATCAGATGTGTGCGTGTGAACACAAGTTATATACTACCGTTCGTTCAGTTTTCAATCTGTTCATAAATCCTATGTAAGATAGTAAGATCGGAATTGTTAAGTTATTAGTCATCTATGCTATTTTCATACTTGAAGGCCCATCGGCTAACCGATTTTCAATGGTGACAGTCGATGGCAGTATAGGCCAACACAGGTATCATAGTTTCCAAATGAAGTAAGTCAAAGTCGAAGTCAAAGTTTTATTATGGGAAATACTTACAAGCGGTTGCTTTTCTAGTTCCATAGTATTCGGCACAGATTAATCGGTTCACAGTTCATACAAATTAGATGAATGTCACAATTTGTCCTTTTTTCGTGCGTTTCTACGGATTTTGAAGTTTAAGACGTTTTAAAGCTTAATCCAGTTTGTGCTTGGATGAATCAATTGTGGGCGCAAAGACAACGTGTGGTGGTAGAGAATTCCAAGTAATACACATTTTGAGGGCGAATGAATGACGCCAGCATTCTAGGTTGGCATTTTTGGAGCATCAATTTGAATGAGTGCCCCCGCAGGTAAGTGTTGGGCGGCAAGGAAAAGAGTGGACGACATGGGTGATCTGAGTTCTGCATTATTTGATATACCAAGATCAAGTCTCCTCGAATGCGGCGATACTGTGTAGAGTACAGTTGCAGTGCTTCCGGTCTTTCCGCATAACTCTTGGAATGCCGCTATTTGACCATTTTGGTAGTCATTCTTTGTGGACGTTCCAGAATCTTCTGATCGCGTTGCAGCCGTGGATTCCATGGTCGAATAGCGTACTCTGTGTGGGGCAGAATGTAAGCTGATGACAGTGTAGGTTCAAATTTGTCAAATACTCTCTTTAGCAAACCAACATGTCTTACAGCGGTAGACGACGCCCGGGAGCAGTTTAAAGAACAGCCTAGGTAGTCTTGAACAATGACGCCGAAATCCTTCTCATTCCAGACCGACGGAAGTTGCTGATTTCCAAGGAAAAACGGAACTGAGTTTTGTGTCGAAGGGATACGATCGTACATTTTGATGCATTAAATTCCATGTCATTTTCGATCGAACATTGACAGGCAACATTAAGTGTCCTTTGGAGTCCTAGCGAGTCCTCTGGTTTTGTATTTGAGATGGAAAATTTGAGCGTTGGCCGGGACCTTTCAGCACATATTTTAATTGTTCATGAAAGTTATGGCCCATGAGTGGATTGCATCTGTTTGTGCACTTCCATCAAATTATTCTCCACACTGAACTTAGTCTGAACAACTTCATTTTTTTCAAAATTCTTCTCCCTTATTGCACCTGGTGCAGTTCGTTTTAAGTATGGCCATTCTGTGGGAGCTTACGGCAAATGACAATGAAACAGGTTGGAAAAAAATATTTGATGAAGTCATCTAATTTGGAGAATATCTGTTCTGGTAAATAATAATGCATATAAAATTCGTCCCTTAATGAGTAAATCGAATAAACTCATCTTATTCATGCGGTTACACTCGAATCTGCGGAAACCTAATCAATAGGTTTCAAGGAAAATCTTCACTAATATCGCACATAATGCATACACTTACTGCATTAAACATGTATTGTGATCCCGACTCAAGTTTGGTATCAGTATTGTTAGCGCAGCGCCAAAAATCTCCGGCATCGGCGGTGGAGGTATTGCTGGTGGTAGTGGGGGTGGTCGTGGTGGTGTTGTTGTTGCTGTTGTTGGTGGTGGTGGTGGTCGTGGGGGTGGTGGTGGTGGTGGTCGTCGTCGTGTTGGTGATGTTGGTGGTCAAGTGGTGGTGGTAGTGGGGGTGGTGGTGGTGGTGGTCGTGGTGTTGGTAGTGGTGGTGGTCGTGGTGGTGGTGATGGTCAAGTGGTGGTGGTAGTGGGGGTGGTGGTGTTGGTGGTCGTGGTGGTGGTAGTGGGGGTGGTCGTGGTGGTGGTTCAATAAATTTAAGCCTTCATCCTATATTTGACCCTTGGAGTTTCTGTTTATGGTAAAGAGTGTTTATTTTCTGTGAAATTATTAGCTTGGTGATTAATTATGTTCCGCTGGACACAATTACATCTGACGTCAATCAGTTTACCGTTTCTCTAACCTGACAGTTACCTGCATTCGTGTAATTCGTTTTGCTCATATTTACCTTTTATTGCGTTCATTTACGTTTTTACGTTGTACAAATTCAATTCCTCTTCAAAACAACTTTCAACTGTTTTCTAGATAGGAATAGGGCCCTGCATATTCAATTCACCTTCCTTCGTACTCGCCTGTAGTGAATTCTTTAAAAGTTCTGGTCTTCTGCCATAGTTTTGTCAAAGTCGGTTCTTCAGGAAATGGTCTCGATATATTTTCTCTAGTGCACCGGACACGAATCACATTTGGAAAAAAAATCACAGGCGTTTATATATAACCCTAAACGAATCATATTGTTTGGCGGGCAAAATTAAAGCTTTAACCAAACGTTCAATTCAGGAAACACTCCAACACAGTGTTAATATTATATTATTCAGGAAGAAATGCTATTCTTCTGACAGTTTAAAGATGGATTTCTGCATAGGTTTTGAAATAAGTGGCTTGTTCACATTTGAACATCCCATAACACATCCATGTACTATAGATATGACCCATTTTGTTGTGTAAAACCGTTCGTATTTGGAACGACAAATATGATCTGTATCAGCTCAGCTAAAGTCCTATCATGGAACAAGTAATGTAAGGAGCTGAATTCAGTTCCGAATCGGCCTTGTTTTGTACCTGAGATCTGTTTGAATGCGGAGTTAGTCAATTTCATTTCACTGTCGTATTGGAGACCGTTTTACGCTCTCGATAGACCATTTAAATCACAAGATGATGACAAGTATCCAATCAGTGCATCAAAGATGAACAATAATATATGGCAACTCAAAGCTGGTGAACCATCAAGCTCCGATTTTTATGTGTTGCTGAAAACCGAAACAACCGATTAATGGGCACTTCAAGTTGTCCATATCCATTGTATTATACCTTCACTGTTTAACATAAAACCCCTCCTCCAAAGGGTGTGTATATCGACTAGGAAGCAATTGAGTTCGTGTTGCTGAAGGATTTCCGCAAAGTCCCGTTGAGCCCCATGCCAACGTTTCGGGTTCCACGGGGTCTATCCGCGTTACTCCTAAATAATCGGTGTGTAATTTTGTAAATTTGGCGGGGCCTTCAAATTTGGCCGCGCTGTTGTTTTCCGTACGATCATTGTCACATAGTCACTGATACCCGTGGCTTTTATACATCAAATCGCTTTGTGGGTCGTTTCTATAGATGTATTGTGCAATTACGATGACCCCAGTCGCGAAATTTCATTACGCCTTCATGATAAACATCAACAACTCTTATTTGTCTCCTAAAGTATTTGAATTTGGAAAATCAGTGAGAAATAAATAGAAAAGGATTCCCAGCAAATCTCGCGGACATTGGAAGAAGTATCGAGGTGGTTGGAGAGTAGCACTACGTCAAAGAGCTTTGTCACAACTATGCATACTCATCAGCAACAACGTCTGTTCGTTGATTGAAAAATTACCAGATATATCTGATCTTGTGCGCCGTATGGAATATTCTATTTTAGGCGCAATTCTTTTACAAGAGCCTTGGTTACATAGTGAATTTGAAGAACAGATTAATAAAATCGACGGCTTCACTGGATACCGTGATAACTGTCCGGCAACATATCAGAAGCGTGGAGGAGGCGTGGTAACTTATATCAACAACAATTGGTGCAAGAACGTGAATCAAACATTTGCTCATTCCACTGGTCACATATGTGCCTCCGTACATGAGTGCAAGCCAAAGCACCTCAATAACTATTGCTCTATTGCCTTAGCTACATTTACATTTCTCCTTCTTGTCTCTCAGACGAACTTCTACATTTTTCAGATACTAGTTCCATAATTTTAATGAGTTATTTTGATTTCTCGCTATGTATCGTCTGGGGTGATTTCAGTGGTGCTGATATCTCATTCTTGTCTGTTCTGGGTTTGACAAACATAGTGAGTTTCCCAACACGACTAAATGCTCATTTAGACAAACGTTTGTAAATAATACTGGCATATTTTTCGCATCTTCTTGGATCTTGCACTTATTAAAGTTTCCCCAAAAGTAACAAGCAAGATCAGTCACATAACGTTCCGAAAAAGGCATCACATTAAAAGGAGAAAATGTCAATTTAACCACGAGAACCTAGAGAAGCTGAATGTGATGGTCTCTCAGACGGACTTCAGTGTGTTCGACAACCCCAATCCTTCCATCTATTGTGATCACCTTGCAAATTATCTGACCTTTCTGNGACGCAATCCCTTCGGTTTGACCACATCTCGTCTTTCCATCTGAAGCAGTTGCGTCGAAGCAAAGAACGGACATACAAAAGCAAAGATCATCAAATAGTGAAACTCTTATCTCTTACTATCAAAGGTAAGCTACATCGACTGATCGGCATTTACACTCGTACACTCCTACACAACAAAACCTGCCGAGAAACCCGGGACACCATCAAGCAACTGAGTGATCAATCCTCAATCCCTTCTCGAACAGCAACAGACGTTGAGGAACTAAATAGAACATTCAACAAAAGTACCAACAACACGGTGACGGAATCAATCACCACCGGCGCAGAAATCCAGTCCAGCAATAAAGAACCCTTTGCTATTCGACAACAGGATGTTTTGAAACAGTTGCTGACACTCAAACCCAATAAATCA